CAAGCTGGTTCTTAATGTTATGGTATTTTTTTTACTGAGTAGTTATGTTTAGTAATGTTTGAGTGCTGGGAAACATTGAATACAGAAAATGTATTTTAAATTACACATACATTTTATTTCTGCTTCTACCTGTTTTGACATTTCTGCAAGCGCTAGGTTGTCAAAGCTGACTGGATTTTTGCCTTTAAAAAAAATTGACAGGCCAGACATAAGAAAGGATGGTTTTGACAGATCCCAGTCGTCTTTTATTGGAGCACATAAAGGAGGAAACAATGAAGGAGGGGGATAAGGAGGAGGAAGTAGGAAAAAAACAGGGGCAGAGGGTGGCTTCAAAGTGGGCAATGACAGCACAGAACCAACGGAAAGTGTGAAAACACATACACATCAGCTCGCATGGATACACATGAGACCTGCTATCACACGCCATGACACATAACCAGGCTGGTGTATGAACAGAGTAAAGGTGTGTGTGTGTGTGTAGATGGCAGAATGAGGCAGCGGGCGTTGTGTAAAGAGATGCAACCGCCCCTCTTTGTGGCAAAGCCAGTATTCCATAGTACCATTTGTTTGTCGTCTGGCAGTGATCTCAGGAAGCCAGCATCTTACATAAACCCCACTGAGTGTGGCTCTGTGCTGGGGAACTGATCCCTCCCAAAACCCTCATTGATATTCTCTCATGATGCCCGAGGATCTGCCGAGCACCCAGAGCCAAACCTACAGCAGGGATGAGTGGGAGGTGGGATCTGTTGTGTTTACATGTGGTCTCTGTCCAGGGATTGAGATTACTGTAGGCACGCTCATAGGATTTGAGATAAAAACGCTGCTGTTTAAGATTTAAGAACATCGTTCTATACTACATTATGATAAGGGTTGACCAGATACTATTGACAAAATTATATTTTCAGTATTTTCATCCGCCGATACAGAGTACCAATACCGACACTTCCGGTTGGATTTCAATAAATATACATACAATTTAGTGAAAGGTAGGGTAAAATAGGTGACACAGCTCTGTGGATAATAAGGTGACATGCAGTGTGTAGATGTGACCTCAGCCCAAACCCCACAAGACTGGAAAATACCAACAGCCAGTTTTATTTTCTTCCCATTAACAGAAAGATATTTCAATCCCAAATGAAATAATACTGAACAGCAGTAATACACAAACAGTCCTCACACTGACACGGTCATCAGACAATATATAAATAAAACTGAGGATTAAATGAAACATTTGATTAATTATATTGGATAAAAAAAATCAGTAATCAGAGCTTTTATATTTTGTATTTCCATTGAGAACACTGTCTGCTACTTTTCAGTAAATGAATTGTCACTTAAACGGTGTGGTACTTTTTGTAATATACACAGTAGTGGTTAAATAAGGCTTAACAAAAATGTGAATTGTGAGGCATACACAAAAAATCTATCCACTGTGATATTCAACTGAAAAAAGATACTGTATTCAACCCTTGTATCATGAGAAAGAAAGTGTGACGAAGTAAGTCTTGTTCTTGTCTTTATCTCTGATGTTAAAATTCCCCAAACTACTGACATTGTTGACTCCCTTACCGTAAATAAACTTCCCTTCAGGGCAGTGACACACTGAACTGCAGCAGGAAAACGCATATCAATGTTGACCATTGTAAGACAGTTGTAGTATAAAGCCATTATGAAGTAGGAAGTTTCTGAATCAGTACGTTTCCAAAAAAGTGTACGGGTATTTATGTAAAGATTCATTATAATCTTTTTCTACACCGTTATATGAATCATAGCCTTTGTTCTGAGTGAATTTGTTCAGCAGCAGCTTCACTGATAAAAAAGTGATGGAACCCTGTTGTAAATCTCTCCGCTCTGATGCGCGGCAGCCTTTTTGTTATAATAATAATTCAGTGGCCTCGGTGAGACAGGTCTCTGTTTTTTGATCAAATTAAATTTCCCACTGTGAGATAACTATTCTGTCACAGTCGTAGGTGTTCCCTATCTATATAAAAGAGAAAAAAAAATTCAAACTATATATTGTAATAGAGTCACACATTTTAACAGGTGTCCGATTGTTCCCGTGTGTGGAGATGCCTGTCAGGACATTTGATTTAAATGTCCAAGGCAGAGCCTGATCAAAAAGAGTTCTCTTTGATTGATCAAAGATGATGAGGCCTCTGGGTCCTGTGAAAGCCACGTTTTGGACTCTTAACCTCTGTGGTATTCACTGTTCAGAACTGACCTTCATATTAAATATGCATTGAGCATCAACTGGTGTATCTCGTCCAATGACTTCTACCAGTTGAACAAAGATGAATGTTGATGTTTTTGTAAAGGTGACAAAATGGGAACTCCCTTTGTTTATCTAAGTACTGCATATATTTTTAAAATACTGTGAGTCTGTACCAACTGTAAAATACTACAAATAAATAATATACCAAGCATATGTGCAGATTTGACCTACCAAAATCACTTGACCCCCCAATCACTCCAACCCCCTTCCTCAAAGTGACCAACTCAAATTAACCCTGACATTAACCCTTAAATTAACCCTGTTTTAACTTGAAAAAAACCCTCACAGCTAATACTGTTATTTTTACTGTTTTTCTCTTTCAGCAAACTGCGACCTGTGCTGCTCTTCTTTGCCTCTTTATTGAAACTGAATGTTGACAGTGACCTACAGGTGACTGCTGGAAATCTAAGGTAAGAAGAAACAAAATAGTTCAAGTCTGAGGCTGGGAAAGGAAAAATACACCAAGTGTAGAATAAAGGGAAAACAAAATCCAGCAAAAGCCACCAAATTAGTTTTGCAGAGAGCACTCCTGCTAGTGATTCTCATCAATTACCTTAAGGACAGTGGCAGGTTAAGGTTTGCAACAGTGTTTAAAAAAAAAAGTGTCTGGCATTATAATGCAGTTGTGAAAAAACAGTGAATTAATTTTAACTTGAGATCAGCGTTGGCTGCTGTGACAACAAATACAACACACTAGAGTTTACCTTCTTTTTCTCTGCTTTTGTTACGCTCTGATTTTTTTTTTTCTTTCTCCCGAATGCTTTGATTCACTTTGTGCTAACCCTTGGTCGAAGTCCTTTGGATAGCAACCAAGTAAGGCTAATTGATTTCTCTTGTTCATGTTGGTAAGAAGCAGCAGCATCGAACTTTACAGCGTACTCTGGCTCTGACTGTTCTTCATTGCTATATCCTAGAGACTAAGAGACGATCACACCGATATTCAACATAAAAGTGCCCTGTGAGATTATCCAGGGTGTAGATCTCAGATGAGATTGTTGACAAAAAATCTAATTCTATGGAAAATGTGGGTAAAAGATATGTCAGAGTGCCCTTCGATGTCTTTGTTTAGTATTTTCTAGAACATACTGTATATGCTCGCTTCTTAAAGTGTCACTCTTCACGTTTTTCCCCCCACTATCCTTTTGTACTGTAGATAAGACTTGCGTTGAGCTTCCCATGTATACAAACTTACTGCTTTGCTCTAAAATGTATTTATTTTAAATATATGCTTATAAATAATTTTTAAAAAACTGTTACACCTAAAAACAGATATTCTCAAAAACAGAGAGTAAAAACAGAAAATCACAAATCAGTTCATCTTCCCTTTCTGCCATAAATGAAAAAATATATTGAAAAAACTAAATTAGGTTAACCAGTAATCCCCCCGCCCCGACACCCACTTTAGGAACCACTGCCTATGCTGTATAATTTACCAACTCCAGACGAGAAGAGCTGGAACATGTGATTTCTCTAATATTATCAAAATGCAGTTTATTGTTTTGCCAGGACTATGATTTAGGAGCCTAGTGACAAAACTAAAAGGGTTGATACTGATGTCCATTGTAGTTTTGGTCTTCTCTCTATCCGTTCTGTTGGATATTGTCACATCAGAGCAGGACAGTGTTGTTTTTCACACTTCCGATGGGCCTAAACACTAGCTGATGTAATGACACTGTTACCAGTCCAGAGACGACAGAAAGAAAAAAAATTATCATCCATCTTAGCCTTCACTGGAGATGAATTAGGAATCGTGCATTACTGAGGCTGACTTTGAATTTCTACTACTGCGAGAGAGAAGCAAGGTTAGGTCAGGGACATCAAAGAGCATCAAAGGAAACAGCCCTGTGCGGGGTCCTTTTGACAGGTGTACCAGGTAATGACAGCAAAGCAGGAGCATGAACAAATACAGGGATCATCAGTCACCCGAACACTCCCAACCCGTAAACATTCCAATCAAATTAAAACACAATGAAGGCGAAGTAGAGACAGAGGCACACAGCCCCCTCTGTATTAACAGGGAGGGGTCCATGGAAGACTATTGTATCCTTTATTCATCATGGATGTCCCCTTTGAAACGCAGGAAAGCAGGCTGGACTTTAGGTTTACAAGAAGAGAGAGGTGTGCTTCACACATATTAGCCATGGCAACTTAAGTTTAGAATTGAACCAGAGCGTAAACAACAACAACAGGAAATAGAAAATAAAGTTACAACTCTTTAATATAAAGTAATTAAAGTATTAAAACTAAACTAAATGTTACACTAGAATTAAAAAACTGTTTCAGTACAACATTTTCTTTGCAGAAATTAGGGAGCATGCTTGTGATGTCATCAGGCTGTTACTGTACGTCTGTGTAATTGGTAAGCGGAATTGTCAAGAAGGAAGACTAACGATTCCAAGAATCTGACCATTGAGAGCATGTTTTCAATGCCCATCCCTACTAATGGCCAAATTATTGCTAATTATGCATGACCTTCAAGCCCTTAAGAAGTAATGCACTGAAAAGCACTGTACTACCACAATAGACAGAACTTCATGAACTCAGCACTACTTTTGGAAATCATTATCTTTAGACAGAGTCTGTCATTTCAACAAAAATGTTTTCTGGCACATAATTATTCCCTTAAGACTTAAGACTAAGACTAAATCTAAAATCTTCATGGATTTTGTTGATCTTTCTAAACATGAAACTGAAGAGTGGCATTGTTGGTAATAGCTGTCTTTGACCGGCCTGCCTGCAGTCAAGAGCTCTCCCAATGAAAATCATTTATAGAATATATTGTAATAATTGTTGTGACCTTGTTGAAAAAGGTTGAGTCTTTTCTAACGTGTCTTTTGTGCTTTTATGTGCTGTTGGAACACCAATCCATATTAGTTGACATATTTTAGTTTTGTTGTCATTTTTGCATGTGCTTTCTTTTTTTCTAACATTAATTGAATTGACATACAGTTCAAGGAGCACAAAAGCAAAAATCAGCACTAAAAATTAAATATTAGCCGTGCCATTTATATAAACTATGCAATAATTATCAAGGATGAATTTACATTTATTGTATTTTTTAAAGTATTTTTCCAATGTTCTTGAGGATAAAAATAAACATTAACTTTAGAATCATTTCATTTGACAACATGAGCTGGCTCAACAACACTGATGTCTCCTGAAAAGAGGTTGTTGTTTAACAGCCTAATGAGCGTCTGATTTATGACCGGAGTCATGTGCCTGATAAATAAACAGCACAGGTGAAGGAGTTCCAGCTCTGCAGCCTTTTCTAATCTGTTTATTTTTAAGTATGTATGTAATTGTGGGCATACATATTGATGTGGAAGTGCATAGAACTCACTGGATTATTACAGAAAAACATGACTGAAATTCCAAATACCCTATATACTTCATGTCTATATGGAAGCATAGGAAGAGAAGTACACCGTGTCACGAGATGAATAGCCTTCTCCGATACACACCTGAGCTGGGTATCTGTGATAAGCAGGCGTGTGGCTGTAGCTGAATGTGAGGCTGTGTGATGAAGATGCTTACATGTTGTTGTTTTTTTACTCTTGAGTGATTTATGTTGTTATAACCGCTGGTATGGAATCAGGAGGAGATGGAGCTCTGGAAGTTGTTAAATGTAGAAGCACCTCAACATGCACTCTCAGAGCATCCATAGTCTACAGAGGGACACTGGGACACCTCACCTGACAGGAGATGAGAAACTTTGGCAGCTAATGCATCAGCTTGTACAAAATGATGCCTGCTCCATCCAAGAGAATTAAGATATGGATAAATAAATAAAACATTGCTACCACGAGAGGAGAGGCAGTGTGACAGCAGGATGTGTTTACTGCTTTCATGTTGGCACTGCAAAGATATTTTATTTTGGGATGAATCAGAGTTTTCTGAAAACGCCAGTGCCAGGTGTATCTAATTATCTGACAGCGCATCCTCATTATGAAACAGCCCCTGGGAGCCAGTCAGACTCGGCTTGCCAAGACTTGGACCTGCTATCTCAATGTTCCTAAATAAAAACACACACGTTACAGCTACCTTCCCATTCGTACCCTATTCCTCCCTCTTTTGTTGCAATCATTACTAAATATTCACCTTTTTGCGAATCACAACCCATTTTTGTAAAAAAAAACATTAGAAAGAATACTACAAATTTATCAGCCGATGCTGCTGCTGTGACAGCCCTATGCTTCCTCAGCCATGTCCCGATTATGTCACCTAACTCAAGTTTATAAACCATAATTACAGCTTCTCCCTGTTTCTCCAGGGATTTGCAGCAGGCAGAGGAAAAAGTGTCTGTGTCTTCAGAACAGCAGCACCAGTGCAGCATACAACAATTAATGAGTGTGGAAAATTTGCAGAAATGCACATATCTAACCTGCCGAGCTGACTGTGGCTCTGACTTACTGTAAACACAGCAACAGTGAATAAGCACACCTGGTTCCTTATACATTCCTCTAATTAACAAGGAACGGCATGTGATCTTAAAATACTTTTCAGTGTTGTTACTCAAAAAAAGAAAATTCAGAAAAGTCAGATTATTTTTTAACAGCAGGCTGTTAATGTCACAGCAGGTGCAAGTAAATCCGACAGAGTAAAGCAAATCCTGTGCTCTACACTGCTGTAGACGTCGAGACAAAGAGCCGGAAGGAAGGCTGCAATAGGCTGTGTGTGAGCAGTATTTTATCCCTTTTTATCTAAAAGGGAGAAGGGTTTTCTTCAGCAGGTCTGTAGGTGTGTTGGTTATTTTTACTTTTAAAGTTGCACCTCTGGTACAACCTAAATTTTACGTATGCATGCTGTTCCACCGTGCCCGGAGAATCAAGAAAAGAAAAATGTAAAGATAGGTGGATGGCCATGTCTGTTGGTCCAAGACGCCAATGGACTGTCTGCTCCATCAATGCAGTCGAACACAATGAACTATATGACCAGTTCAGCTGACTAAAATATTTTCAATCTGGCATCAGCTGGCGTCTATGGGACAACAGTGACATTCTTTTATTCTGCCACGGAGGAATAATCTAGATGCTGATTGGATAAAAGTGGGCAAAAACAAAACGTCACCGTCACAGAAGCCGAGATTGACAAGTAGACGATGAACAGTATATGGGCGTGGATTCAGAGCTTTTCTCTGGAATAAAATGTAAAGATGAACTGCCGCATATTTTGTTCTTTGAATTTGCTTGGCAATGTAGAACTTCTGCATTTGTGTGGATACTACAAATGTTTGTTTGTTTTTTCTCTTCCTAGAATTTTGGTGTTTCCGTAGAAGCTGTCTGTTTATTCTTATCATTGGTTACTTCTTCAATCACAGAGAGCATTTTTATGTAATAATAAAAAATATGACCACGAGTAACTTATAATTGAGGTATTTGAGGGATAATCATTGGTGCAAAGCTGTAAATGTCAGCATGTCATACTTCCCCTGTCCTGTGTGTTTCCTATTCAGTTCTCCATTGAATGCATGAGCAGCTACTATCTCTTGCTGCCCCATGACTGGCAGACCATAATGCTATTACCTCTCCTCCATGGTCATGCTCACTTAGCCCACTGTCACTCTACAGACGCCATGGCAGAAACATTTCCCTGGCAGCAAGAGCTGTCCTCACCCTCATTTGAGAAGAAAGAGAGGGGGGAAAAAAGAGAAACCGAGGCACAGCAACTTTTACAGTTCATTATTTTGCATTTTAAATGTTTCCACTTTTCTGGAGCTGCAGAGTATGACTGGGAATCATGGATAATTGGCTCTGTGTGAATATCTTGACAGTAGTACTCTGACAAATAGTCCTTAGAGCGCAGAAAATGGGCTGTAAAAAAAAAAAACATGATGCTTGGTAACCTCCAGATGAGTTAGAGGACAGGGAAGGAGGAGCGCAAAATGGACATGTGCTCACTCAATGTACTGCATGGCCCCATGTCCATCACCAGTCAAATCTGACATCAAAGTGGACCAGATAAGAGGAGCAAAATGGGTCAGCTTTGAGTCACATCCCACCCACCGTCTGCATCACCTGAGGCCAGACTGCCTCGTGCAAACGCACGTGCACGTGACACATGCACAGAAAGTCAGGGACACCAAATACAAACATTTAACCAAACTTTTTTCAACACCTTTCAGGATTAAAAACACTGCATAATCCTGCGCTCTTGTATGATGGATGCGTTCGTGTCTCTGAGAGTTTGAGCGCGCGTTTGTGTGTGTGTGTGTGTTCGTCTTAAATGATGACGATAGAAATGATGTAAATACCTCGCCACCATCTGGAGTGTAACATCGAGCACCAGACCGTTGCACTCCAGGCGCTACTTTATCCTTAACGCCGCGCCAAGACGTGCAAAAATATGCGCTCTGGCCACAGCATCACGACACAGAACTTAGAGCCGACACTCAATTCCACACATGGGTTATATTAGCTTCAATTCACAGAAAAATGAGGATGCAAGAAATGATAATAATAAAAAACTCTCTGCACTTACTATGTACCCAGACGGGAGAACGCAAAGCCCCGGAAACTGTAATTAAAATAGAAAAACGGAACAGTGAGGCATGCGCTGGTTTAATGTTATCAGGAGTGATAAATATGTTTTAGGCAAAGATTCGTTTTTTTTTTCTGGAATTACAATATCATCTTACCGGGAGTAGTCCTGGAAAAAAAAATTCCTGAGGAAATTCCAGAGGAGTCCCTTCTTTCTTCCCCCAAAGTCAGAAAACAGCAATGCTTTTCTTATTCCAAAATCCAGCCACTGGTTCAACTGCAAGAGAGAAGACACGGGGAATAAAAACCAGAACACATTCCATTAGAAGCCGGTGAAGCCACAAGAACCAGCCCCAAAAGTGTTGACATAACTGTGGTGAGTGGCAAAAAAAGAAAGGAAGCAAGTCGGAATAAATTGCCAAAAAAAGAGAGTAAATGAAATAATACCTGCTCTCTTTATCACTGTCGACAAAGACAATGAGAGCGACAAAAAGACGCACGGAAAACTGAGAGAGCTGAGCCTTTCATTGGGAAACGCAGCCCCAGCGCGTTGTCAGATCCTGGCGCACACACACATCTCTCGCTCCATACACACATACGGACACACATTCTGGCGACGGACGGAGAGAGAAAGCGAGGAAGAGGAGGAGGAGAGCGGAGACATGGGATGCCGCGCTCAAAAGCTGCACTTCACAGTCCAGCCGCTTGATGGCCAGCGAGGGGAGATGCTCACACTGGGATACGTCCCATCATGCCAAGATCAATACGGTCCTGGAAAAATAAAATCAACTTGAGCTCATAATATTTGAAGGTGCAGCTTTAGTTTTCGCTCAACAATAACCACCTCTTTTCTTTCTTTTCTTTATACAAGCTAAAATCAGTTTCTATGTGCTGGACACCCATTTTTACTTGTGACTAATTCAAATCTTTGCATTAATTTTATGGGAAAAGTACATATATATATTTTATATATAAATCTTTATAAGTTTAGTACATTTTAGTCATTTGTTATGCATCTTGATGGTATAATAATAATAATACATTGAGAGTTGCTTTTCTAAACCTCGTTGAAGTCTCTTGCAATCCATTGGGTAATTGTGTCAGTCAGCTTGTCAGCCGTACACTTACATACCGCCGTGTGCTCTGTGAGGTCGGTCTGATGCAAGCCAGGTGCCTCCACAAGCGTATGCTGTGTGTTGAGGGGGTATTTGAGCTTGGGGTGCTTCTGTAAAAAGTAAAACTTTATGTCAGTGTTATTCGTTCAGTTATTATAGTATTAAAGCATTGTATATACATATATTTGTATATACATAGACATATATGGTATAAATGTGTGTGTATATGTACAGTATATATATTTTTTTAGAGAGGGGGAGAGGGAGAGATATGTTTATATGTAGGCAGATGTGAAACTTTTGGCTACCTTAGTGACCTTTTTGGCCAACTGCACTCTCTGTCCTGGTTACAAACATACTGGTGATAGAGAATAATTGAAAATGGCCAGCAGCACACAGGACAGTGTCTTTCTGCACAGTTAAAATTTAACTAAGACACATTACCTAACTTATAGTAGCTGGACTGGGATTGCTGTATCAGGGGTTGTTACAACGTCGTACTAAAAGCCTTCTACCATCGCAGTCATATTTATGGAACGGTGTGACAGTGTTCTAGATCTTTGTATCTGCATTTCTGTTTTATTACACCCTTAGGGCAGCTAGTAAATTTCCTACCAGCCTCACAAAACAAATGGAATTTTCAGATACATTTCACTCCTCAGTTTGTTTACAGCTTCTTTGTGCAACTATATACATTAGTTGTTATCCTTGGAATATAAAATCATGGTGTCTTTATCTTAGGTATTTATCCTGCTTATCTAAAAAAGGAAAAAAAGTGAAGTATCACTTAAACGCCGTCTGAACGTCATGCAGCCTTTTCATTTAGGATGGGTGATTTGAATGTCATTACAATCTCTCTTACAAGTTAAAAGCATGGTAATCTCACACAGTGTATTCATCTATTGGAAGCGATGATGTGGGAGGCAGGATTTACACTCGATAAAAAAGTAGAAACATTTGTCCCTTTGTTCCAAACACTTGCAGCATTTACATTACATTACAGAATTTAGATTTTGTCCAGATGTAAATCACAGTGAAAGGTCTGCGGTGCCTCCTGTGTGCAGCAGGGCAAACAGTTGGGCTTCCATTACAGCTCCGCGGAGCTCAATTTGTGTCTATAATTGTTTCATTTCCGAGCTGCCCCTGCACTCACAAGCAGCTGTCCACGGAGAAACAGTGCCTCTAGGCTGATGAGAAACTGCATATCTGGCCATGATTCTTTACAATAAGCATGATGATGTGGGGGAATCTTTTGTGATTGTGATCTGGCCTTTGCCTGGACTTCCTGACAAAACCTCTGTCCAACCGCTTTTGTGCAGCTGCCTCAAGGTGTGTGGTCTGTCGTCTGATTTGGCTCACAAAATACAAGACATTTCCCAATTGCTGTTCAGTTAATGTGAAAAGGATAACTTCCTGTTTGTTAAGTTTCTTCTGAATAGTTTAACAGTCCTTGCAGACTTGAATTTAGTTCTCCAAAGGTCAGGTTTACTTAGCACTCAGCAGCATCACTCAATAACCTCGTATTTTTGCAAGTGGGATCCTGCAGAGCCGGGTGAATTTTATGCAAATGTGGGTTAGAAGGGCCAATTATTCTATGTAAAAGTTGCTACTTCTATAAAACAATCATTAGTCTCCAAAATTACACAACATTGCATGGAACAATCTATGTCTAACCTACAGGTTAATTCTGATACACGTGAAATGCTGTACCCATGACATATTGCATTAAGCGTTAGGCATGTTTGCAGGGAGCATGGAGCAGCATATGTCTTGAGGCTCAAAACAGATGGAAGCAAAGAGTGCCAAGAAAAAAGGAAAAAAAAAAGGGTGTAGAGCCTCCATATAGTCCAGTCCACAACTGACCTGCACTGACTTTGAGATGGAAGCATGGAGCCCAGAACACTGCTGAGGTGTGTGTGGTCAGCAGCAGCCTCGCCAGCTCATCTCTCCTCTGATTGATAGAAGATTAAAGTCAGCATTTTTGTTTTTAACGCTGCAGCCTGACTCACTGACTCTTCTGTCAGAGTTCTGTTGGAAGGGAAGCAGTTTGCGTATTAGGTGTTTTTTTTTTTTTTTAAAGATGCTGTCATTGCCCATTGATACTAGTGAAGTCTTTGGAGTCAAGCTGTTTGAAAGTTTTTGGCTGTTGCTATTTTCCTAATGACTCCAATTGTTTTGCTGTTGTTTGGATGGAGCTCACAGATGCACCATACACCGCCCTATTACACACAGGGTTAGTTGAACATGTTTCACCTTGATGCTCCAGTATTGTTTAAATTTAAAATGTATTTAACATACATTGCAGTTTTGTGAAACCTTTGTCTATCATCTGGTGTTTGCATCTGTACATTAATACGAGCACGTTCTCAACCATGACCTTCTTTTTTTAAAATTCCCAGCGCGAGGCCGTAATGTGGAAGATAGACATGATTATTACTTGTTGTTTGTTGTGTGGTTAGTATTGTGGGTAAAAGTAAAATCAATACTGCTCACAGTAAGCATCAACTGACTCTTACTGTATGCCACAGACACAAGGGTTAAATGGTTTTATTTCCTCATTTCAAAGCTGAAATAAAGCAGCCTCATTATATATAAAAAGGCCATATATTTCCATATACATTGACATTTTGGATATGACTTAAAATCGTTCTAAATCAGTATTGTAGTATTACGTGTAGTGTGTAGTAAAACCAACCTTAGATGATCACACAGCATTGCTCCATCAGTATGTATATATAGCTGGACTGTTGCCAATTGTGCAATATAAATAAAAGTACAGTGGGTGAAGCTGTGCCAGTGCTTGGAATCTGAAATTCATATTGCTTCAAAGAGAAGAAGGCTGATATTTATCATTACATTATTCCGGGAGAATAATTATTTGGAGCACTCCTATGCTCGTATCTGTTTCAATCAGCGCTGTTATGTGACTCCACCGCACTTGTGAACAATGTTGGAGAAAAAGACAAAGGAAATTTGCATATATTGCCCCTTGCTCTGTGAATTCATTTGGCCATTTTCAATATGGCACAAATCGAAAGTGTAGTGCATGCTGTTTGGTCCAGAGTACTACTGCATGAGTGAGTGAAGATACAGTAATAAGGCTGAAATACTAGGAGGTAAGGAAGAATACATGGAGGAGTGAGCTCACCTCTGTGGTGCTATCATTAGCTCGTTTTAGATTAGAGAGCTACCCTCACACTGGCCTTGCCTGAGGTAAGAATCATGAGAGAAACGGAGAGATTGGTTGGCAGAGTGCCACGCTGAGGCTGCAGTACAAATCTCCGTGTGATGTTCTCTGTTTTACAAAACAACACGTTCACTCCAGCAGAATTTTCTCTCTGACAGCTGTGCTTTCAGAGGGCAGGCACCAGTGTCAACCTCCCTGTCACCAACAATTATGTCGGTCCGATCTCATGGGTCTTTAAGTGAAAGCGATGGAGAACAGTGACAAAATCCTTTCAAAAGCCTCAAGTCACAGTCTTGGTGTCCTCATAAGAACTATGCAGCATCAAGAAAAGGACTCTGTACTAACACTAACAGAGTGTGTATTTTTATTTTTTAGTTATATTGACTTTTATTGTTAAGTTTCAGGGAAACCAATAGATAATAATAGACACATACTGAAAGAAATATTGTAATTTTTGTGAGTTTGAAAACAGCCACAAGTTAACAATGCTGCCTTGGCATGCAAAAAACAATGATCCACCAATGCTTTGGGATTTGACTGAAACACTGCATACACATCAATCGCTTTAGTCAAAAACATAGGTCATTTTGTCGTCAACAGTGAATGTGCTTTTAGCTTTAGAGGGCCCATTTAGGCACACTTTTAATGTGCAATGCTGATATAATGCTGAGAGAGACTGCAGTGAGGTTTATATGTGCTCATATAGTTTGGCCACAATCCCATGTTCTCATTTATCATGACTGCCTTAGTTAATTACTGAACTCCCAGCAGTTTCAGTCAGAGTTTCTGTTACTGTTAAACCCAGAATCAAGACCATGTGACCATAATCTCAATAGGTCTGTTTTTATTGCCACATTTAATCCCCCTTAAAAACACCAAAGATTCAGTTCTGCGCTGCTGAGTGTTGAGTCCTGATGAGTACGTCTCCAACACACTTTAGTTGTTTAAACAGAAAGGAAACAAAGTTTTTGCTACAGAAGTCTGTACATATGTACCAATTAGGTGACTGGAGTCTGGGTCTCTGTCACATACTGGAAGTTAACTTCCCACTGCTGTTTCCTTCCACCGCCTTGACTCATTAAGAGCCAGTTGACACTGGTTTGGAGAATGTGTTCGCCCCTAAGTAAGCGTGTAGCTGAGAGGGGTCTGACAATGGAAACTTTTTTCATACACATTTTCACATTTCAAGTTCTAAACTTACAGTTGACTTGGTAGTGTTAACCATGGCTTATAATGTTTATTATATGGTGTTTTTTGAGCCAAAGACTGCTAGAAATGACCATACCCTATTACAGAATTTGGTTGCTTCTTATATCTCTGTACACATTGTATTTGGACTGATTATTCAGTGTA